TGACTGACCGGTCCAGACGGAAAGTATAGTGTCAGTCACCGGTGACTGACATGGCGCTTAATGTGTTAAACTCCATTCTCAACCATGTTTTTTTTTTACAATAATAATTCTGTGGTATTATATCTGGGATTAACAGTCATCTGGGCTTACTGATTTTTTTAAAATATATTTTATTGATTTTTTACAGAGAGGAAGGGAGAGAGATAGAGAGTTAGAAACATCGATGAGAGAGAAACATCGATCAGCTGCCTCCTGCACATCTCCCACTGGGGATGTGCCCACAACCCAGGTACATGCCCTTGACTAGAATCGAACCTGGGCCCTTTCAGTCCGCAGGCCGACGCTCTATCCACTGAGCCAAACCGGTTTCGGTTTACTGATTTTTTATGTCTCTAAGATATTAGTCTTTGAAATTTATTCCACCTCTCATCAATAACAACATAAAGTTCTGCCCAATATTCATTTGAACAGTATCAAGGAATTTGTGAGTAATTCCCCCTTCCTCTCTGAAATTAATAAAAATATATTTTAAAAAATGGATAAAGGAAACAAGTGTAAGATAAACCACAAAATTAGATGGACAAATAAAAATCCATGAATGCTTCATATCACTTTTTTTCTTTTCATTTTCATGCGTTTCAGCCAGACTACCCTGCCTGTCCTCTTCTAATTCAGCTGACGTGGCAGTCTTCCCAGCATACAGCATGTCAGCGCTGGTTCTGAGCAGAAAGCTGACGAGGCCTTCTCTGCCCTCAATTCAACACATTTCCCCTGCAGTGTAGCACACTTTCCCAAGACAGCTACCTGGATCCCTTTCTCAATGTCCCATCTCTCAGAGTTCAGGGTGTCCAAGCCCCAGCTCAGAAATCACCACCTTTTCCCTTTCCAGGAACTTTCCACAAAGATGGTGACGACAGTTCATGGTGAGCAGAGACGACTGGTGTGAAAGAACGGTCTTTTTGCTCTCCCAGTCCAGAACTGGTGTGGGCAGCTGCCTGTGATACTATGGGTAGGGCTGGTCTCATTGTTTTTATAATTTTAAATGCATTTTGTGAGTTACAATTAAATAACAATTTGTCAGAATAAATGCTGAATTAAACCTGGATATTGGATGTACCTCACATGGATTTCCTTTAGAGGGCACTATTGATTCTCTGAAACCATGGAGACCTTTCTTTATGTTTCCCTGGTAAGGTTGGCCAATTTTGAAAGCATATTGGGCTTCAGATCTATTCAGATAGTAGAATATTAGTACTATACTCATGACCAAGAGACTGTCTGTGGCATAGAATAATGTGGAAGCTAAACCAGAATGCTGATTGTTGTGACAAGTCATCAATGCAACACATGGTTCTAGATTGGAAACTTCAACTGGTTTATTTACTTTTGTAAATTCTCTAAATGAGAATTTCCTTTTGTAAGATGATGCAAAATTTAAACTAAACAATTCAGTCTTTTGTTTAAAAAGACAAATTAGAACCTCTTTGGAAACTAATGTCTCATTCTAGAAATAATTATTAACATACCTTTGGAAGAAACCATATTTATGGTATTTTCATCCAAGTCTGGAGATACTCTACTAAAAATTCTTTTTAAAATTTCTTGTGTTTCATAAAACTCTGCCAATTCACAGAATTTTTTATAAAGGCCACAAGGGATCACTTGCTTTTTCATTCTCTAAGTTAACAGAAATAGAAATCTATAAGCTGGCTCACTGAAGTCTTTATCTAGTTTCAAAATAATGGGAAACCTAAAATATTCCAAACCTCAGAAACATAATTTTTCAGAAATAAATGCATTCATGTCACCATTTATCAAGGTTTGCTTAGCTTTCACATCATAAGACACCATTCCAGCACACCTATTTTGTGTAATTTCTTACTGAAATACCAATCTTCTAGCACAGTTGTAGGTAGTGGTCTCACAAGTATTCTATAAGTTGATAAATTAATAATTTAAAAGTTCATGTATATACCAAAGGTGAGAAAAAATTGGATTTTCATTGTTTAATGAATTATATACAAATTCACCAGACCAGCCTTTAAGACGCTTCACAGAATGGTCCCAGTCTATCTTCCTAGCCTCAACTTTCTCTACCAGCAATCTAAGTTCCCAAAAATGGCACTGCCCACTATCATCTGGACATTTGTGCTTTCCCATATTCCTCCCTTTCTCATCCAGTGTCTTCCATTTGAAATGCGTTTTTCTTCCCAGCTGCCTCCCCAAACCCAATGAGAGTCCAACCTGCCCTTCAAGTGGTATTTTGATGCCACCAACTCCACCGAATCTCCTTCAGAAGTGACCTACCCATTCTGTGAATTTCCATGGTTCTTCCTTCCTATCCCACACTACACGCTGTAGATTTTTATTTTTTAACATTTAATTTATTCTACTCTTTTACACCTAGCACCATGGCTGTAGTTCAGAAGCATCATCATTTTTATTTGAATTCTTTAGCACCCTTAATCCTTCAGCTTCTGGGCACCTGCCTGCCTCCCTATTCCATCTGGCAGCATTCCACCAAAATGATCTCCCTAAAATATAAACCTGATCATGTTGTTAAATGACTCAGCATTATCCAATGGCTACCACCCATGATCCATGTCACACCATCCAAACCCTCTCCTGCCTCTCCCCACATCCTCTACCACCCTCCCCCCATACCAAGCCACCTGATCATACCACACTGTTCTCTGTGTCTTTGACATGCCCAATGGATAAACTCCTTACTTTTCTTAAAAACAGTCCAAGAATGGCCTCTTTTTGAAGTTTCTCTGACTACTAAGAGATTTAGATGCTTCTTCCTCTCACAGGGCTCCACTACGTTCCTCACCTGTTGTTTCCCTGACTGTCTTCCCACTGCCTTTATATCCTCCTTGGGGCAAGAACTCAGTTCTCAATGTTTGCATTCTCAACATCCACCCCAATGTGTAGCACATGGCAGGTGGGCGATAAGTATTGATCAAATAAGTGTAAAAAAGGAGGAGAAAGTTTCAAGGAGAGTGGTGATCAAAGAAGCTAGAACTGACCAATGGCATTTGAATCGGTTTACAGAGTGGCTGGGGCAGAAGCAAGATGACCACATCCTATCTAATAAAGATGGAATATGCAGATTGACTGTCACATCATAACAGTCAAGATGGCTGCGCCCACAGTGGAGGCAGAGATTCTGTAACACAAGATGGCTGCGACCTCAGCAGAGGCTGAGTTCCTGTAACGAGTCTTAATGAGCAATCAGCAGGGACCTGAGGCTCCGTGGTGCTGGACCAGGGCAGGGGACCTGAGGCTGTTCTCCGACCTGGTGGGGCTTGACAGGGGACCTCAGGCTGTGCCCCCTGGCCTGGGCCAGGGGACCTCAAGGCACACCCCTCGCCCTGGCGCTGGGCCAGGCGACCTGAGGCCGTGCCCCTGACCTGGTGGGGCTTGACAGGGGTGGGGCCAGCCAGGACTGGATCTAGCCCAATGGGGGTGGGGCTGGCTGGGTCTGGGTTTCATGCGACTTCAAGGTGCACGTGGGTGGGCGGGGACTTGACTCTGGTTCCTGTGGTGCACCCCAGACTCTGACAGGAGGAAGATTTTCATATACATTTTACTAATTTTCTTTCATCTCTGACACTTCTATTATAGAGAAAGGGCAAATAGCAATATTAAAATATTTCCTCTAATTAATTCCCTTTTAATGTGCATGAATTTCATGCACCAGGGCACTAGTCTAGGCAATAAAGATACACGAGCTTTTGCTCACTGTGGTGGGAAGCTCAGCCAGCTTGCTGGAGTAGCAGGTTTGGGGAAGCTTTGATTACCACATTTTAACTTGATTTGATTTTAATTTTTGGTTTTGATTTTGGGTAAAAAGAATGATCCTCACCTAATTACCTGTTGGTAATTTAAGAAAAAGGATAAGTTAATGGGAAGAGTTTCTAGGAAGGAGAAAAAGATGGACTCAAAGGCATGTGGCAGAGTGGACTTAGTGATGACCTTACTAATATCTGATATCCCTTCTTGTGGTAACTACCCTAAATTTCAAGTACCATGTTCCAAGTCCAACACCACCAGCAGAATAACTCCATAGAGAACTAGTTCCACTGTATTGTATGTGAATGACCTCCAACACAGTTCCAGAATAGAAAGCCACATGAAGTGGGCCTCCTGGAAATGTGCGATAGGACAATGCTGCCTGGGTCTCCCAACCCTATATGCATCGGGGAAATTCGACTCCACCCTGTTTCTAGAAATCGAGTATGGAGTTCAAGCCTAAAATAGCATGAATTTATCACCCAACCATGGTCACTGATTTAGGGAAGGCATTTTTCCCATTTAGACCAGGGAGGTATGAGAGAAATTTTCTTTGGGTTTTGAAAAGGAAGCTTCTTTGCTCTTCTGAGAAAAGATCTGGAAGCAACTCTCACTCTCTGCTTGAAAGTGCAAAGGGAAGCAGGGGGCCCTGGACCACCAGAGCCGGCTTGCGATCCTGAGGGGCTCTAACCTGAAGCTGAAGTTGATGGCAGCAAGGGCAGAGAAGAGAGGCAGAACGTGGCCCTGCTGGGCTGCTGAGCCTGCCCTCCCTCTAGACTTCCAGCTACAGGAACCTGAAAGTCTTCTCTACTGTTTTAAGCCAGTAACAGACAGAAATGGAGCTGTGATAGCCTCAGAAAAAGAAGAGCATCCCTTCTTTCTGTGAGAACAGAGGGCGAAGACCCAGAGAACTGTGAAGATTTTTCTGCTAACATCTATTTGTGTGTTTTCTATGTGCCAGACAATATATTTAACACTTCACACTCTTTCCTTCACATATTCTCACAACAGTCCCATGAGAATCATCATTTTCATTATACATACACACACACACACATATATATATATATATATATATATATATATATATATATATATATAGAGAGAGAGAGAGAGAGAGAGAGAGAGAGAGAGAGAGAGAGAGAGAGAAAGAGAGAGAGAGGGGGGGAGAGAGAGACTATAACAAATTAAGGCTGGTCACTCACAGTGAGCAGAATTTTCAGTTGAGTAGCATGGGACTCCAGGCTGAGGCTTCCACATCTGCTCCTACCCATCAGAGTAGATCACAGCAGTTTTCCCGGGAAAGCAGAAGGCATGCAGAGGCAGAGAGCATGGAGTGGGGTGAGCAGTGCCTGAAGAGTGTGGAAAAAGTGAGGAGTCAATATGAGATAAACGAAGGAATTGCTGAGTGAGAGAGAGGCTCTCAACATATCAAATCTGTGTTTCACAGATGACCTTGAACGGCATAACAAGAAAAAGATCAGAAACTGCTCCTTGATGATGCATCAACTTATCTTTGTATCAAAAATATTGAATGGAGAAAGACCCGAATGTCCGCATGCTGAGTTAAACTCCTTCACCTTGTAAGGGTGAAACCTGAGCTCCAGGTAAGACACTACAAAACAATAATAATGACTAGTGTCTCTGAAATTCACAGCTGACCATTCTCCCAAAAGCGTGGCTCCCCCATCCAAGCCACGTTCAAAATGAATTGACCAGATATGAGTGGCATTTACAGAGGTACACAGGCAGAGATCCAACTTGTTACTCTGATTTTGGCCTCTAAGCTGGTCAGTTGTGTGTAAACACTGGTTGATACCAGCTACTTCATTCTCTCACTACATGTCCTTTCTTTTGAGAAAATCCCCTTTTTAATTTTTGCCTCCATTTTTTGCTTTTCTAGTAATTTTTTCTGTGCCTGGGGGGGAGGGGAGAAGCGCTAGAATTGGAGGGTAGGAAATTGAGGGCTGTGTCTGTAGGTAGGTGCCTCCTCTTTCCTCAGTGACACTTGTCCTGCTTACCCCAGATTTGTGGAAAAGTCATGGGAGGGGGATATCCAATGAAATACTGTACTATAAAGTCCTCTGTGAAAAGCAGATTTGGGACATCAGAGACTTCTAGTCCTTTCCCTTAAAAATGGTTTTCAGAGATGAGTAAAAGTAGAGAAGGCTTAGTTATCAATATGGGAAGGAAAAAACTGAAAAACTGGACAGAATCAAGATTCAAAGTGAGTTTGATAGACTTGGATATGGAGTAAAATGAGATATGGCTTAGCAAGGATTAATAGAAAGTCTGTATGATCAATCCTCAACAAAATTCTAGTAAATCAGATTCATTACATTAGAAAGATCATACACCATGACCAAGTGGGATTTATTCCGGGGATGCAAGGATGGTACAATATCCACAAATCAATAAACGTCATACATCACATAAACAAACTGAGAGACAAAAATCACTTAATCATATCAATCAATGCAGAAAAAACATTTGACAAAATCCAACACCCTTTCTTGATAAAAACTCTCAGCAAAGTGGGAATAGAGGGATCCCACCTCAACATAATAAAAGCCTTATATAACAAACCTACAGCCAACATCATACTCAATGGACAAAAATTAAACTCATTTCCCCTAAGAACAGGAACAAGACAGTGATGCCCACTTTCACCATTTCCATTCGATATAGTACTGAAAGTGCTAGCCATAGTGATCAGACAAAAAGAAACAATAAAAGGCATTCAAATTGGAAAAGAAGAAGTAAAACTGTCCTTATTCGCAGATGACATAATACTATACATAGAAAACCTCAACGACTCCATCAAAAAACTACTAGACCTAATACATGAATTCAGCAATGTAGCAGAATACAAAATTAACACCCAGAAATCTATGGCCTTTTAATACACCAATAATGAACTCACAGAAAGAGAAATGAAAAAAACAATACCATTTACGATTGCATAAAAAAAAACCTAAGATACCTAGGACTAAACTTAACTAAGGACATAAAAGACCTGTACTTAGAAAATTACAGGACATTGAAAAAAGAGATACAGGAAGACATAAACAGATGGAAGAACATACCATGTTCATGGATTGGTAGAATCAACATCATTAAAATGTCCATACCACCCAAAGCAATCTACAGATTCAATGCAATCCTCATTAAAATACCAATGGCATACTTCAAAGATCTAGAACAAACTCTCCAAAAATTCATCTGGAATTAAAAAAAAGATCCCGAATAGCCACAGCAATACTGAGAAAGAAGACCAAAGTTGGAGGGATCACAATACCAAATATCAAGCTATATTACCAAGCCATGGTTCTCAAAACCACCTGGTACTGGCACAAGAACAGACAGATAGAGCAATGAAACAGAACAAAGAACCCAGAAATTGACCTAAGCCATTATGCTCAATTAATATTTGATACAGGAGGCAAGAACATACAATGGAGTCAAAACAGTCTTTTCAATAAATGGTGCTGGGAAATTTGGTCAGATACATGCAAAAAAAATGAAACTAGCCCTAACCGGTTTGGCTCAGTGGATAGAGCGTCAGCCTGGGGACTAAAGGGTCCCAGGTTCGATTCTGGTCAAGGGCATGTACCTTGGTTGCGGGCACATTCCCAGTGGGGGTTGTGCAGGAGGCAGCTGATCGATGTTTCTCTCTCATCTGATGTTTCCAACTCTCTATCCCTCTACCTTCCTCTCTGTAAAAAATCAATAAAATATATTAAAAAAAAATGAAACTAGATCACCAACTTACACCATACACAAAAACAAACTTAAAATGGCTAAAGGACTTGAATGTAAGACGGGAAACCATAAAAATCCTATAATACTCCATAGGCAGCAAAATTGCAGACATATGTCGTAGCAATATTTTTACCCACACAGCTCATAGGGCAAAGGAGACTAAGGAGAAAATAAACAAATGGGACTACATCAAAATAAAAAGCTTCTTCACAGAAAAAGAAACCATCAACAAAACAACAAGAAATATATTTGCCAATGATATTTCCGATAAGGGTTTAATCTCCAAAATTTACAGAGAACTCATACAACTTAACAAAAGGAAGGTAATTGATACAATCAAAAAATGGGCAAAGGATCTAAATAGACACTTTTTGAAAGAGGACATATAGAAGGCCCAGAGACATATAAAAACATGCTCAAAGTCACTAATCATCTGAGAGATGCAAATCAAAAAAACAATAAAATACCATCTCACACCTGTCAGAATGGCTATCATCAACAAATCAACAAATGACAAGTGCTGGCGAGGATGTGGAGAAAAAGGAACCCTCGTGCACTGCTGGTGGGAATGCAGACTGGTGCAGCCACTGTGGAGAACAGTATGGAGTTTCCTCAAAAAGTTAAAAATGGAACTCCCATTTGACCCAGTGATCCCACTTCTAGGACTATATCCCAAGAAAACAGAAACACCAATCAGAAAGGATATATGCACCCTATCTTCATAGAAGCACAATTAACAATAGCTAAGATTTGGAAACAGCCTAAGTGCCCATCAGCAGATGAATGGATTAGAAAACTGTGGTACATCTACACAATGGAATACTATGCTGCTGTAAAAAGGAAGGAACTCCTACCATTTGCAACAGCATGGATGGAACTAGAGAGCATGAGTAACTAAGTGAAATAAGCCAATCAGAGAAAGATAAATATCACATTATCTGACTCATATGTGGGATATAATGATCAACATAATTTGATGAACAAGCATAGATCCAGAGACAAATGGTAGGGGAGGGGGCGTTAGAGAGCAACCAAAGGACTTGTATGCATTCATATTAGCATAACCAATGGACACGGACACTGGGACAGTGGGGGATTTCCCGGAGTGGGAATGGCTAGTGGGGAGGGGTCAACTGAGGAAAAAGGAGACATATGTAAAACTTCAAACTTTAGACAATAAAAAAAAAGAAAGGCTGTATGATCGATGATTCTCTCTCATCATTGATGTTTCTCTATCTCCCTCTCCTTTTCTCTCTGAATTCAATAAAAATATATTTTAAAAAAGAAAAAAAAAAAGGCTGTAAGCAGAATCACAGATTGCTCTAGTTGTATAGATCCTGTTTTGGATTCAAAGAACATGGTCAATTCAAGTTGGGGAAGCTGGCCTTTAATAATTATTCATGTAGAAATTCTCAGAAAAAGTTTTAGTTGAGGTGATGTGAACCATCGTTGCTGGTTAGAGATCAAAGGAGCAGACCTGCCACTGGGTGCTGGCTGGCTCAGCACACGAGGAACACGGGGTCCACCTTGGAGGACTCATTTTAAAGGCAACTGCCAACAACTCAAGGACCTCCAGGTAAATGGGGCCGGCCATGGGAGGACTCAGGAAACCACAGAGAAAGATACACTGGAGATGATACACAGAGGAAGAAAAGATTGAGGAAGAAGCTCTCTTTAAATAGCTGATGAGCAGTGATGTAAAAAAGAAAGAACCCCCAAATATTTGGATCCATCTATAAATGGAATGAGTTATCTGGTGAATTAATGAGTAACTGAATTAAATAATCTCAAAGTCCTTTCAACTCTAAGATGTAATGATTTATGATCTTCCAAATCATGCCTAGTTCATGCAGAGGGCCACTACTAACCTGGTGTAAATAGCCTTTTAGTGCTTTCTATGAATATTGACATACATTATTTATTCATGTTCTACATAACTTTTCTCCATAAAGTAAGGGCTATTCTGTGTATATTACATTGTAATCTGATTCTATTCACATAACATAGACTAGATATTTTTCTATCTTACTAAATAATGTTTTAAGAACTGAGTTTTATAGGTCACATGGTGTCAATGCCCCATAATTATGCAATCAGGCCCCTATTTTGTACATTTACATTGTCTCCAATTTTAATGATTATAAATAATCATAAACCTATATACCTTCTCCTCAGCAAAGATGGACTCATCTTTGAGAAGAGATTTCATGGCTGCATCAAACACACTAAAGTTCAAACTGAGTAAGAGAGCTAACTCACCCTTAACATTTTAAAAGCATCTAATTTTCCTTACTTATAATTTCCCTTTGCCTGGAAACATTTTGAAGCAGGAATTCTGGGTTTTAAATATTCTATGTTGCAGGGACCACACAAATTATTTCATGTGGGTTTTTTTTCCCCATTTATAAAGTTGTCCCCTTCATGTTAAAATTGCCTCAGGGTACAAGTATAAACTATAACACATTTAATTAAAATATATAAGGCAGAACACTAGTATGGTATAGTATAATCAATGTTAATGACAGTATGAAAATGTAATAGTGATTTTTGAAAATATAGGAGACAACGTTAGGTTATTTTTTAAAATATA